GCGAGATGAGAATCCATTTGGTACATCCGCCAACGGACGAAAAGTAACGGCCTTCCACAGCACTACATTCCAATACCAACACACAAGTAAACCACGAAATTGTTCATCGTCTCTTTCATCTCCTCAACCACCTCCATCAACATCCTACTATCGGCTCAAAATCTCCTCCATGGACAGCAATTGCAGCTTCATATCATGCGACAAGCTTGATCGTATGGCCAACTGGGTGGGGACTAACGTGGCGTCCGCCTTCTTCGCATCACTGGAACGTTGCTCATGCATCAATCTCAACACCACCGACCTCGAGGACGAAGAAGAGGCCAAGGACCGTCCTCTCATGCTTACCACGCACCCCGTCCACGACAACACGGAGTCCCCGGCCCAACCCCAGCTCACCACCGCCGCTCACTAGTTTCCGTTTTTTCACTAATCCAAACAAGTTAGGGTTCGTTATGTTGTGGAATTCATGCTTTTTTGAGTTTTTTTTTTAAAAAAAAATCTGATGCGTTAACTTCGAAATTCTGTAGATAATTGCCAATAATTGATGTAATACTTTGTTTTGATGTAATACTTTGTTGTTTCGGTTCAGTTTTGTTGGATCAAAGCTTTTGAATTGTATTTTTTTAGATGTTTTTAAGAAGAATTGTCAGCTTCAATTTTGTTTGTTGGCTATTAATTCCCTTCTTTATTTTTAATTTTCTTTACTGGTTGGGCGCATTTCTGATGCTTCGATTCTATTTATCTAATTGCATGTGTATCTTGAAATTTAAAATAAATTCTTGTTCAAATTTGCGATATGCTCATCATCTTATTAGATTTGTAGCTTCTTGTGCGGGATCTGGTTAAAAAATGCAAATTCTTTTTTTGTTAATTAAATGAACATAGAAGTATCCTATTTACTTAGTGTTGAGAAAACATGCATAGGTTTTGCCTGCAAATGCTTAAACCTTCCTGGAATTTTAGATTCAGCACGATCTTCCCTTGCAGTTCAGAGAGATTAACTGTAGTATAGCTGTCATTTTGAGATATGCAAAGAGGTCTATGCATTCATAGTTTATACATTTTGATTTAGGCTACATTCTTTCTGCCTTAGGATTGAACTATAATAGTTATTATACCATGCCAGCATCTTGCATCAAACTTGAGCTTCTTATTCACCTGGTTTGGCATTTCCAAGGGTTTTTCATTTCAAACTCTGAAGATATTCCATTTCAATGGGCTATTCCATCAGAATAGAGGCTCATAAATTGAGTATTTTGACCACATGAAAGACTTGTGCCACTACATGAATGTGAGCAATAGTCTATAAATGGAAATTTTGAATCTGTTCAACTATTTGATCATCCATTTGATGGGGCTTCAGAATGATGATGCTTTGAAGAAAATCTTTATGTCTGGCTTAGTTACAGAATGGATTAGTTCTTTGTTTCTTATACGAATTTCCATTTTTATCTTGTCCTTCATGGTTGTTTTATGTTCTCCTAGCTGGTATATGGCAACCCATGATTTTGTGCTGGTTCCTTAGCAAGCCATTGTTGTTATTCTATATGTAGGAGTTGCTCCTGCTAGCTTAGGCTATCAAACACTTACATTTGAATTAGCCAAGAAAATGCACTCGTGTCATTCTGATTGTCGTTCCTCTTGTTTGTGTAATAGAGAACATTATATGCTATTTGAAGATAGTGCTTCTTGTTAGTGGAAACCAAGATACGAGAAAAATCTTTTCTTCATGATTAATGTTTTGACATCACTTGCTAGTTGTTTTTGTAGATTGGTTTCAGAAAAGTTTCTCTATTTGGTATGGTTAAATATCTATTGAATTGAGTGCAGCATTAAGACAGCTTTTACCTGTGAATCTGTGGTTTTATTTAAGGGACCTATTGAGCAAAAGAAATTTAATGGAAGACAATGAGCATTTTGCTTTAACATTCGGAAAGAATTACCGATAGAGGGTTGTATGGTCATTTAACTTTATCCATCATAACTTGTTCTGTCTTTGGCATGTAAATACTAAATTCATGGAAGTTTCTAAATCTGATGTTAATTGATTTTTGGAAAGATCTTTACGTTAAAGAGTATTAATTGGTACTAAAGAGGATCGATCTAGTTTTGAATATCACCAGTACTTTTTGTCCAGCCTAATGAGATTCAATATAGTTCCTGCAAAAGTGGATCTGTCACAGGAGACGACAAAAATCAGAATACGGTATCAGCTACTGTTTCCCACGAAGACATGCTAGTCTTGAGAAATTTCCAGTAAAGGAGCTTTAATATGTTGTGATCTTTGCCTAATTGTTAAAATTTTAGTTTCCCAAGATTTCTATGTGGGCATGCATGCCTACTAAATCACGTCGCAGCCATGCAAAAAGAAAAGAAATTGATGCTTTTGTTTGTATAGATTTTCTGGGGGATTGCAAAGTGGGGATATCATCAAACAGTTCAAAATTTGAAAAGCACAATTACACGCTAAAGAACTTCAGAAGGAAAACCAGAGCACAGCATGAATTTGCAGTAGGTAATTGAAAGCTAATTCATTTTACATAGAAGTTAAAATTCTGAACCACTTGCAGCAGTAGCATTATCATCTATCGAATTTATATTACAAGGTTTCAGATCTCGCAGACAGGACTGTCACTTATCTTCACTATCTTTCCAGCATATCAGCATCAGCACACAACGACGGATGATATAGAGCCTTGCTTGCTTCTCTTTCAAAGTCTTATGTCTTGGAACCTTGAATTTTCCTTCTGTCTTGTGTGAAGAAGGCAGGCATCCATTACCCATGGGCTTATGTTCCTGCTGTTTTCACTGGAAAGTAAGAGGAAGAAAGCACTGCAAGGTGAATCTGACTGGAGTCTTCTACGGTGCTTGCTGATTCTCTCTTTTGGTGGAAAAGGACTGGTATTTGTCTCTAAAGACATCTTGAAAAATGGAGGAGTACGGAAGTTACTTAAGTTTGTTTGAAAGTTTTTGTCTTTTAGATGCAGTGAGTTATTATTTTAAGTTGCTGTGTGGAAGTTGTGGTTTTCTTGGGAGCTCTGCTGGGCAACATGAAGCCTGATTTGTGCATACAGACCTTGCATCTCTTTAACGGTCTATTTTATGGAGAGATTCCGGCTAGCTGTCTCTAGTGGTAACCAAGCCAAATGTCATTGCAGTTTTTGGGCCACTTATATGCCCCTTTGTTTGTATTGTAGGAAACTGTTAATTGCCAACTCAAATGCCTTACGGATGACATGCTTACCGTTCTAATAGCTGGGTTTATGTTATGCATAAATCTAACCCTTTTTCCCTAACATTTTGCCTGTTAGTAATTTACGCAGGAGGTAACTTGTCTTTTTCTTCTTGCAAAGAGGACACCATCTTCACCACTCTTAAGGAACCAACGGGGACAACAACTG